CGTTTACTATACAATTAACAGCATCGACGATCAAGGAATCGATAATCCGTAAGTATAACCCTTTCCCATCTACTAGGGTTATATCTATAAAGAGATTGCACATGGCAGAAAGTCCTCTGCCTTTGATATGAAATACTCTCCAGTGAGCGAAAAGGGAAAGGGGCTTTAGGGCTGCGATTCACGGGTACAGAATGCTGTAGAAAAAGTTGTCGTAAAATGTTCAGAATTTCAGTGATCAACGAATAACGCAGGATGTCGAGAAAATGTGTAATGTGCTGGCAACGAAGCTTACTCCATCATTACTTGTAGCACCGTTCGTCATCGCCTTCTATACGTTCAAAACGTGGCAGACGTACGTTCATCTCGGCTCCTTGCTCTTTTTGGTACTACTCGGCTTGGGAGGGGCACCTTGAAACTTCGCTAAATCCTTTTGCTAGTTCCTGTCAAACTTTAGTGTGATATGTAGACTCTTGTCAAGTGTGAACGAAGTCTGTCTTATTGCACGGTTCACAAGAATTAACAGGCCTCCCCAGGAGGCACCGGCAGTGATCGACTTGAACCAGCAAAATGCCCCCACCAAGCCAGACTGGGCCTTCTCTTGGACTCTACATACATAATCCTCCTTCAGTAGTAAGGCTCACTACCTAGAGTTCCTCCCTGCAAGGGCTCAGGTAAGCGTCCACTGCGGAATATCACCTGATTCTCTTAGCGGACCTAACCCACTTACATGGGTGTCGGTCAGAAGATCCATGGTGGCTAGCTGCGTAGAAACCAGGTCACCAAATAGTTCTACGGACACGTTGAAATCTAGCCGGACTTTTCAGTCGCATCAAATTTCTGTTTTTCTCAGCGCTCTCACGTCTGCATGACTTCCAATAATATCTGTGTTACCTTTGCAGCTTTTCACGCACGATAAGTGGCTCATCCAATCCGGAGTCCTCTCTCCCTGGAAAAGCTTCCTCGCTTGCGACTGCTTTCGGCGCTTTAGCGGCCGCGAACCTTTACTTTTTGCGCTCTGGCCCATTCCAACACCCCAATTCACTTATCACTTAATCACGTATACGAGCCCACCGCATACGCAGCGCAAAGACTCGTCTCCACTGCACTTCATGTTAACCACAAGCAGAATACTTCTTCGCCGCCGCAAAGTGGACCTCCTGAACGGTACCCAGAGATTTCTCTGCTCTTTGAACGACGGCTGGAGGAGGCTTGGGCGCTAATCAAGATGGCACTATTGACACACAATCTCCAAGGCGCCGTTTATCGACTGGGGGGGGGGGCATTCTGCTTTTCATAAAATTTTTGCCAACACCGCAAGCGTACCTTGTTTCGAGTTGACACTTTTAGACGGCATGGTGGCTAGAGCGAATCTTGCTGGCAGTTCAACAATGCGTTCACAAGTTTTACCTAACAGTGAGTTTGTAAACGAACCAGGGAAGCAATTCTAATATTACAGCAAATGCCCGCCCCCGATAAAACAGCGCCCAATCTCCACCTCGTATAGGTAGCGGTGCATTTATGAGATAGCTTGTGAGACCATTATGCGCACTACTCATTGGTGCCCTTTTCAGAGCTGGTGGATTCGGCGTAGGCTTTATTTACGTGTACTTTATCCTTGGAGCTGTATTGAATCGTATCCTTATATCGCCTCTTACAAAGTGGGCAGCCAGAGTGGAAAAAGCAGAGGGTGACTTTCGGTAAGGCAATATTGAACTATGACAGTACTCCCATTTAATTATTTTCCTGGAATTTTAGGTTCAAGCACGTCTCAGTGCGAAATCATCATGGCCGGAAGAATAAGGCCATTCTATTCGAGGCAGCCGAGTTTGAGAAAAGCTCTGGCTGATGAAGAATATTCTCAGTGTCTAGATGGGAAAACCAGAGGAAACTGTCGTGCTGTGGCAGTTCCCAACACAAGGTTGCGAACGTTAGGTCAAAATCACAATTCCACGTGAAGTCATATACAGCAGAGTCCAGGCGAACTATGTGCTTTTACCGTTGGCGCGTGTATCCTTTTTATCATACCCAATCTGTAAGATTTTGAGGTTATTGGAGCTTTGTAAGCATGAAGGAATGGTCTCGCTAATGGTCCGTGGTGGGAACAGATTAGAGTGTTGGTTTGGAACAGATTAGAGTGTTACCGCAACCGGGTGGTCAAAGATAATGAATGGGTAATCGCTGGAGCGTAGACGTTTGCGGTTGCTGAGGGATGTTCAAGGGTCGGGTTCGGCCAAAGACGACCCGTGCAACGTCTTTTCACCAATTTTCTTGCTTTTCCTCTCTCGACATCGGTGGAGAACCTGCTGGCGCCTCGCCAAACCTAGTATAAGACGAGGTTATGCCCGAGCTGTACAATCTGACACGTACGATTCATTATCACATGTCCTACATATAAATTTCGCAAATAACACTCAAGTTATTTGAGGATGTCAGTAGAATCAGGACCTTATTCATACCCGAGCAGGGAGAAGGAGGGGAGCACCAATAGGAGGTACCCTTCACATCGAGGGGTGAAAAGGGGCATACCGGCTATGGCTGCATTCTCTCGTGCTCAGGGTACAGCATCGTACTTTCTGCGCGGGAGAGAGGGCGTCTTCGATCATTGGAGAGGGATCGTATGGTCGCGCCTTTGAGAGAACTCGTGTTCCCAGGTGTCTGACCTTTTTTTGCGTAACTTTTCCCTGTTCCATGCCACCTATACCTCTCCCCCCCTCCCCGCTCGACGGAAATAAATGTTTGGGGTAACAACGGTAAAACGTGCCAGAAATTGCGTAGTGTAGGTGTTGGGGAAGGCGAAGGGGTCGAAACCCTCACTTAGGGGGGGGTCGTGACTGCAGCCCCTCTCTCGGAGGGGGGGGGGGCAGCGTCGTACCTATCACACCACCTCACATGTCACAATGCTGTAAGCCTGCTCATCGCTAAATTTTCCTCTCTCGGATACATATAGCCCAGCCTTTCACTCAGCGATGTCCTTAATGCCTTTTTATACGGGCTGTAACGCTGTACCTGACTCTGCCCGTGATGTCTGAACTTTCCTTGGCACCTTGATTTTTAGTTCTTCAATATTTCTTCGACTACTATGGTGGAGTGTTGTCATATGCTATCCAAGTATTTCCGATCTTCATATTTCAATCGTACAACGATCTCGATCAAGCCTCGCTAGGCGAAAAAATCAGCAATGTTGGTGATCAGCTGTCTTTCAAAAGTACTTTTTATTGCTAAAAGTTCCAGTACTGAGAGTTAGACTTTGAATGAAAGGAGGGCGGGACTCATCTGAAAAGATAAAGCTACTAACTTGTACATCAGCTGGCCTCAGAAGTCATCTGGTATGCCATACTCCACCCAAGTTGCTATCACTTCTACGGCTGGAAACCAAGTGTATCTCGAAAAAAGGTTGATTAACATAGCTTGATCCTCGTCAACCTTCCACACGATGTTGGTCCATGATTGAATGTCTCGAGTTTATGGCTCATTTTTGATTACATCGCCGTGACATACACTCCTTATCCCTGAGACGGAGTAGGCGTGGCATTTGAACATGGCATAGCATTACTCGTGGAGCTATTTCAATTTGAAACAACTGTCATCTTGTTCTGTGTTGGACAAAGGTGTGAACCACAGTTGTAACTAGATAGCTTAGCTACTGCCACTTTCTATTCAAGTATGCAGCCACAACCATCTCAGAGATTTCTAGTGTATATATATGCCAGCCGTTTTGCATTCTTCAGAATGCTTTCTACTACATATATCTAATCAACAGCTTCACACGACTTACTGACTTAGCGTTGAACATCGGAGAACTCGGTGGATACGTTCTGAGGTTGGCATAACACTGTTTTCAATTTCCTGCTCCTTGAAGACAATGAACACTAACTCCTGGTCCATGCCATGTAAGGTGAATGAGTCCTCAGCTACAGTGGCGTGCCCCAGCTCCACACCATAGCCAAACGTGCAACTTCTCTGCATCCTCTCGCTTCTGGGTGTCCAATGAAAGCGTGTTTCGCTGCGAGACCTTGGTCTCGACGCAAATGCTGCACCTTGAGGGTTGTGTGGGCGGAGTTTGGAAACGGCACTTGGGTACCACCACTCTACAGCTCTGATCCCTTGCATTTTTGAGCGGAAAAAGCGGCGCGTACTGCAGATGCGGATCCACTCATCTCGCACATGGCAGGAACCGTCCTCAGAGGCCAGAGGGAATTTGTCTTCGATCCCTATGAATTCATTTAGAGTGTCCGAAATTGTGCGATGTTCTCAACGCGAACAGGGTATCGTTAATGACGCGTTTGCCACTGACCTTGTCGATGATGACGATGGAAGTGGAGATTTGGCGTTCAGCATTCGTGACCTCTCCTTTCGGCAAACCCTATGATGAGGAGGAAGAGCTCGTTTCAGGTAAGGTCACGGCAAACCCAGCTCTTTTCCCAGCGCAGTTCTGCTCATGACTGGGGGCATTTGTTGTGCTCGTCATCTATTTCTGCGAACGGCCCTTGGAGACCTTTAAGTTCGCGGACAAGCGGTTAGCAATAGCGTAGGCTTTGTTTAGCGAGTGCTTCATTTACATTTGGCAATGGACCACAGGTCTCACCAAGGTCAGATAAGTATTCCCACAGCAAATAGCAAGAGAAAGTTGCAAAAGTGCAACCCCCATCTGAGCCGACCTGCGCCTCTTTTCGTAATCACTGATTCGAACTCATTCAGATCTAAGCATTGACATTCCTTTGAATAATAGTCTAATCGTGACCGGACCCAGTGGGGCCGGGAAAACGTCTCTGCTCCGAGTTCTTGCAGAATTGTGGCCAAACAAATCAGGTTTCTTATGTTCCTTGTGGATTGTGCAGCACGTGTTATTAGGGTTCCTACTTTTCAGGTAGTATCAAGAGATATTTACCCAGACGTGACTATCTGTACCTACCGCAAAGGCCATATTTACCCGTGGGTCGTTTATCGTTGCGGCAACAAGTCTGCTTTCCAGAGATTCCTCGCGACATGTTTGACGACGAAAACGATGCAGGTAGGATTTTCAAGCATCTGGACACAGCAAAATGTGCAATACAAGTCCCATCAGTGCACGACATCTTTGCGGGCTCATTCACCCCACGCGACGGATATAGGGGGCCGCTGTAAGGGGACCATCGCGCGGAGAAAAGTTTTCCAACGCGATGGGGTATCCTGACGGAGAACTCACTCAGGTCGCTTCATGGACTCTGAAATTCAACGACTGATGTCAGGGTATGTGACAAGAGAATCGTGATTTGTCGCGTTGATGGGCGTCGCGTGCGACTCGCGCCCGCAAATGCGATGGTCCCAGGTCGTTGATGGCGGCAGTAGGCAATGTTGAACCGAAATAGGCTTAAATGTCTACATTCGTAGCCCACGTGAAATCCGGTGCTCTAATCGATAGGCTAACACGAGTTAAGAAAACTCCGCTCCCATCGCCGCGCGCGGCGGAGCGGCAAATTACGATTCTCTTGCCCCTCTCCCCCTGATGTCATTGTCAGAAATGAATAGCTGAACTTCGCGTAAAACAAGTTTTCCCTGGTGCACGCCACGGACAAAATGTGTTTTACTCCACTTCCCGCTCTGTAATTCGCAAATCAGTCAGGACGGTGTCAGGAGGGACGGATGAGCACGCCAGCTGCCTTCCAATAGTGATCTTGGAAGAGAAATCAGGGG